TGTTTTCGACTTTTCGATTTGATTCGATTTCTTGCAAGTATTTTAAACCAAATCACATGCAAGTTTGCTTTACAATCAAAGTTACGGCAAAACATTCTTTCCCTAACTTCTGTCATTTAAAGAATCACATGGTTTGTTAACATTTATATTACAACTAATTGCTCGTATTAAAATCTTTTAAATAACGTATAAAATATTTTTGCATACAATTTTACACAGATATATCGTTACGCATGACATAAAAGTTAACTTTTTATTACATCTATATTTATCATTTTTCTTAAAGACTACTGTGCTAATGGACTTGCTCCTAGAACATTATTTTTCCGACGGAGCTTAATTTTTGAAGTGTTTCATGTCACATTATACAGGGGATGCTACAATTTCACATACAATTCCACAAAAATTATTTTCATTTATACTAAATTTTTAGCAAAAGTACATTTTCAAAACATTCCTGTATAAATTGATTTTTAAAGCCATTTGGAAAACACAGAGAAGACTACTAGTTATCTAATTTTAGAAACTGATGTGAATATTCTAAAGTAACTTAGAAAGAGCCGTGGCAGTATGTATAAAACTATATTTTTAACTTACACAGAGTCTTAACATATTTTGGTAGCTTATCTGCTGCAACGTTTTGCTAAAACATATATATATATATGGCAGTGTTACTTGAAACGCTGCGGGATTTTGTTCAAAAACACGGTGTCGCTACATATCAGGGTTCTTGTGAAAGCTTTAAAATTTAATGATGTGATAAATGTGATATTTAATTCCTCGTTACCTGTACTTAGGTCTACATGATATGTGCTAAGTTTTATTATGGGAATAATCTTCTTCAGTTTTTTATAACATATATAAAATCCCTCAGTTCCATGTTTTTTATAGTAACTACATTGACTTATTTCTGTTAATATTAGCTGTATATTTGCCTATGAAACATAAACTACGACATTCATTTCCAAGGAAACATTTAAAAAATAATTTGTGATATAAATCGAATACACATATTCGATGTGTTTGTCAGTGCATTTCTTCAATCATTCTACTCTCAAATATTTTCGAAAGGGCTTTATTTTTTATAGAAGTACCTGTGATACTTGCTTTTAAATCGTGGACACTTCTTAATATTAGTACATGTTTTCCTGATTTTGCAGCGCTCAGTCGATAGCTCTCGAGCTTAATCTCTGAATTCAAGACACTACTACTGAACTCAACATACTCCTACTACTCAAGATACTATCACGATACATTACTCCGCATACAGGCAGTATTTATAGCTTTTGACCTGCCTTCGAGAACATTCTCGCGACAACGGTAAGAATTCGTTCTAGAATGTTCCCGCTTCGTCCATGGTATATCGCTAATTTTTTCGCCAAATAGGCGATTTCGCTCCATATCCGGCAACCCTGCATTTCCTTGCTACTTTCTGGCAATTGTAACTCCGCTTTGCGGAGAAGCTATCTTATCTTATCGCAGCTGAGCTTTCGTAACAATATAAATTATACAAAATAAATTTGAACTGAAATTTAATGACGGTTATTTATTGAACTTCTTTTCGGATTTAAAATCCAGGTAATTCGATGATTTTCCTTTTTTCCTTTTGCAAAATAATTGATTTATGTTACATCATTTTTGCTACACCATATTTAGAATGGCAGTAGAAGTTTTCTATTTATTTTTATTTTCATTGTTAATGAATTTAAAATTAGTAGTTTATCTGTATCCAATACTTAGCCCATTATAGGCTTGGCAACGGTATTTTGCTACCAAAAAGAACGAATATATGTTTTTTCATTTCAAAATTTTGTTGCTCTAATGCTACGGATTTCAAGATCTAACTACTCTTTTTATTTTTATTTTTACAGTTCAAGTTTTCATATGTTGGATTATTTCCGTTATATATATATAGTCTCACCCTACTTAAATTGAATTATCAATAACAGGTTTTTAAGTATTTCTACTTGCTTGTGATTTTGTTGCTAGAAAAAACAACAACTTAAAAAAATTTTTAGAAACATTTTTTGAACTGATCTGCATGGATTCATAATTTAAATATATTCTTGTTTTCTAAAAACTGTATTGGTTGTATTTGCAAGTTTTATTTTGATTTTTGATTAGGTTTTCCCAAAATAAATATTTTAAAGATTTGTTTATATTTTTGATGCTACAGGTTTCCAGTTTTTCATTGCTTACTTCGGCCCTTATGGATAGTGTTGAGAAAGACACAAATTGTTAGTCCAAAGATGCCTTTTCCCTGAGGTACTATAGTTTTCGTTTTGTGATTTTGCCCCGAATCGCTCTGAATGTCCTTTTCACTTTTCAAACTGTTGCCACCAAATATTATTGCCCTGTATTATATTTGAAGAAATTAAAAAATAAAGAATCTGCATAAATGTGATAAAACAACGGTACCTAGAGCCATCCAATTTTGTATGAAGTAATCGTACTGTGAATGTGGAAGCCCAAATTTGAAATTTGGAATTTGGTTTATCATAGATTTCGTATTTTGTAAAACTTTAACGAATTTTTTATTAACAAACTCAGGGATTTCAAAGCGATCAATGGCAACATTGTACAGAAAAAAATTTTTTATCTCCAGCGCGTGAGACTGTGTATCGGAAATTCTAAGGATATGCTCAATTCAAAATTATTTTGCGATATTGCTCTTGAACTGAATTTTATGGCTTAAGTGCTAAGAACATAATATTTAATAAATAAAGGTAACACACAAAATGTTAAAAAAACGACCTTTGGAAGTAATTTAAAATCTGAAACTTTTCAGATTTTCATTTTTTATTTATTTTAACTTTTTTCTGAGATTATTTTTAAGTTTTAAACATAATTTTTTTTTTGTTTGTTTGTTTGTTTGTTCAGAAACCGGTTGGTTTATATACTTCTTTCGTTGTCTTTAGTTAAAAAAACATTTACATCATAACTTTAGGGCATTGTTTCAAAATCTAATTTTCCCCTCCGTGTAATTACTCATTTTATTTAGTATTAATTATAATTTTTGTAAAATGTTAAGTATTTATTTTCTTTCGAGTCACGTTGACGAAGATTGTATCTTGATGAATACTTTATTAAAATGTCTCGTAAAAATTTCTTTTTGAAATTTTGTTAAGAATGTATTTTTATTTCATTACTTTTATTCTACATTAAAAGAAGAAATTATTATTCATTTTTTGACTATTTTTCTTCTGTAATTCATCTATCTAGATGTAATTCAGAAACATGGCTCAACTGGTAATTCCTACTTCTGTTTCTTGACAATGACCAAGGAAGGGATAATGTTTTAAAATTTTATTGCTTTGTTTTTCTATTAATTGTTTTCTATTTAAGGTTTCATTTTCGAGCTTTTGATTCATATCGTTTTAAACCTGCGCTTTCCTATATTTCGACTGCATTTTTGGTGGGTATATATTTTCTATAGTTTATCCCATGCATATATGTATGTATGTATGGGATAAAATTCTAACTTTGATTAATAATAGCTACTAAGGCTCCTTTTTAATCTGGATACTTCCCCTTTTTATCCTGAAGTAATAATATACTTATCATAAACCTTTAGATTGTATCCTTTCCAAATGAATCCCTGTCACGATTCTTGTGTAACACTAAAGATGCATGCGGTTGTACAATGGAAAATGTAAACTAATTCATACAACTGTTTTTTTTTTATTTTTTACCGAAACTGTTGTTATACAAATAGCAATAAAGCGATACTATATCTCATTGTTAAGACATTAACTAATTACTCCATCTTAATCTAATGTCAATAGCAAAACTATTGCTTTTCTCACTTTTGTCGCTATAGCTAGCGTTTATTCATCACTTTTCTACATCATCTGTTATAGTGCTATGAATATGTGAACGTATACTGATAATTATGGAATTCTAAGCTCTCATCTTGCTCCATATGTAGTTTAAGCTCTTAAACTATGTATGTTTTCAAGAATGCTAATAAAAGAGTGTTTCAACCGGTGATGACTGCACCTGTATTGTAACTTTCTTGTAATTACTCAGCATCATCATGTATAATAGATTCGAAATTTTCCCTCCTCCTCTTTTTCTCTTTACATTTACGTACAGATAGATTAGTTTAAGGCTTCAAAACAGTTTTCTTGTGATAAGTTCTGTTCGATGTGTTAAACAGAGGAGATTAATAAACAATTTCTTTCGAGCAAAATTATTTTGAAATTTCTTCTGTTATGTAGCTTTTCTGTAATTTTTAGAAAAAATGCTTTAATTTTAATTTTCTTCCAACGATTTCGTGTTTGAATGTTTCCTTGATTTGCGTTTATTCAGTTTGGTAATCTTCACCCAGAGAGAAAAAGTTAGACCTTCGTATTCTTGGAACTGAGTTTTATTTAATTTTCGTTCCAACGTTTGCTTTTTGGTTTAATATCATTTTACAATCTAGCAGCTAAAGCGCAGATTCGTCTCTTTTCTTTATTATTGTTAATGCTACAATCATTACTATTCGTAAGAATACTGAAATTTAGATGTCATTAAACGTGTATTAGTTAAGTAGGAATAGGTCATATGCGATGTTAATTATAACAGTTTTAATAAGCGGTTTTGCAATAACTTAATTTTAGTTCACTCACCAATGGGAGAGAAAGAAATGTTTCTTAGATTCTTCTTCTGTATATCAGCAATAACATTCTTCTTATATTATTTTTTAGATACGTTCTCACCTTTTGTTTCGTGCTTTTTCTATACTTGTGTTCCATGTAGCATTTAAAAGTCAAAAGACTCCAACATGATCTTATCAATACATCAAATCAATCGACGCATTTCGAGAAATCGGAGTACCTTTACTTTTTTGTAAATGGTTTGAGGGTTTTCTTCCATGCGCAGATTCATCGTAAGGATCAGCTTAAATGTGGGCAGACAGCATTTGTGCAACAAGTTACCGGACAAGATCTAGGACTATTATATTTCAAAACGATGACATAAACTGTGGAAGCCTTGCTTAAATATAGACGTACAAATGGGATTTAGAAAGCGATGCTTTATTTTGTTCACAAATATATAAAATAAAATTACAGATAAAAAAACAGTACCGAAACAAAATTGGCCACACTTGCTGAAGCTTAAGACTAAACTTCAAAATAAAAATATCATCTATATAAAAGAATCAATGCATTTAAAATCAATTATATGAAAATCTTCTTAAATACTACTAAACAAAAATACAAAAAGCTAAAATAAGTAATATTAAATAAACTGCACAGCAGAAACGACAAAAATTACAAATACATTTACAGTACTCCTGAGAAAACAGACGCAGACAGAAGATAAAGTAATTTAGCTGTACCGAAGTATTTTATAAAACGTTTGCTTTGTTTAAACTTCCATCATGTTTACTTGATTTAATGTATTAGATGTCATTTATTTCCTTAAGAGTGTAAAACTGCAAATTAACCAAAGCAAATTTTATTTTGTTATGAATACATTCGGTACAACTGTTTATGAAAAATGTACTCCATATTTGCATTTACGTTATTCCTTACTATTGCACCGGGCAACATTAACATACACGCTCAAAATATTGCAGACATAAAATTCTCTCTGTCACGTTCGGAATCAAATTCTGTGGGTTTACCATCTTTCTTATATCCGCTAGTAAAAGTTCGCGCAGAGCAAATAAATTCGCCAATTATTTCTCTGTCTGAAGTAGGTAATACATAAAATGCTAAATTGAATCTTTAAAGTTACTGCAACGTTTATCATGAAAGTAAATGAAATATGCAAATTTCCAAGCTTTTTATTTAAAGTTTCTGCCTCTAATATTAGGTTGTTCAATAATAAAATTTAGCAAATAGGAATGAAGTGGGCACGCAGTTCAAAATGCTGAAGTAGCATTAAAGTACTTAAAGGAATTTGTTTTATTAAAACTGGCCTATATTTTACAATCAAGATACAATTATGTTGAATTTTTTAAATTTTAGCTGACTAGTTAAATTCTGCTGAAAATAAAATCCCTGATTTTTTGTCGGAACTAAAGTTCCAAGACAGCTCAAAAAAGCATTACGAAGATTTTAAGAGAGAAAAGCTGAAAGCTTATTATCAAGAGAATGGTTTTATTGAAAAAAAGTTTTAATATTTTATAAAGTCGCTCATCTTCGAATAATTTACCTTAGCAAATATCATCTATATTGTAAAATTTAAAGTGTTGGAACTTTCTTATGTTTAATGACAAACTCTCATCAAAAATATCAATATTCATTTAAATTACTTTCCTGAAATTACAATGAATACTTTTATTTTTTGAGAAGAGCATTTTAATAAATCGCTCATTAAAATTAATTCTAGGTAAATGCGATTTAAAAATTTTGTTTCGCTAAATTCTATAACATCTTCCTTGAGCACAAAAACGGCATCTTTAAAAGGGGAAATGGTCTATTAACAGAATTAACTTAAACAGTTTATTTTACACGTACACAAGAATATACAAAACATATATAAAACATCAAACAAGTATTCTATGTACAGGGGATTTTGAAAAAAAAACGACAGAAGTGAATTAGCGTCATGTGTATATTCCTTGCAGATAAAAAAGTATGTTTTATTTTGATACTGTAAGAGAACGTTTCTTTGATGAAGTTTTTTACAAGCCACTAAAAATGTTTTAAACAAATTACAGCATACACAGTTAAAGCTTCAAAAAATAATTAAAAATATCATTTCCTTTTTAATTAACTGAAATTATGAAACTACTAAGATAAAATGTAATAAATGCATTAAGATAAAATGTAATAAATGCATTAAGATAAAATGTAGTGAATGCATTAAGATAAAATGTAATAAATCGTAAATGAATTACTTTTTCGAGAAAGATACTGTGTAATTTCAAAAGCACTTGCGCAAGAAAAGATTTCAATAAAAATCTACAATGTCAAAACACAAATAAAAAATTAAGGTTTTCAAAACTATACAATATTAAACTAAAAGAAGGGTTTTAAAATTAGATTAAATTCTAGTTATAAAAATAATTAACTAAATTACTTAATAAAATCTAAGTAAAAACCTCAGAAGCTGAATATGAAATATTTAAAATGAAAAATTAGCGGTTAAGGAAATTTTAAAGACATACTTGAAGTGAAAACTTCAGCTAGCGTTTGAATTATGTCTATATAATAGATTATACCTGCATATAACATATTAAAAAAATGCAAACATAAATTACAAATTGAAAAGAATTTGAAGAATATTGGCTTTTTCAAGCCGATAATGCATAGAAAAATATAAATAAATTAGAAGGAAATACACTACATTATATGATCCTGAGACTAGCTCTTGACCACTGAGCTTCCCGAAATTCATAAACACAAGACTGATAATCTACCTCTGTCGTGACGGTGATACGGCCTTAAGACGGATTACCTCTATAGGCCTTTCATCACCTTTAACTTTGTTCTTAAAACTTTGACACGTAACTATGGACGGATGTTCAGTAGTTCTAAACAAAAGAAAGATTTCACACCCATCCAATGCCTCTGTTAGCACCTCCATAGTTTCCAGTATTTTGCCATCCAGCATTTTTATTCGCTTCTGCAGTGCTTGGCCATTGAACAGAACCCGCCTGAGATCCACCATAGTTGCTAGACCATGCTACATTGCTACCTGCATTGCTAGAGCCGTAATTGCCGCCCCAACCTCCACTTTGGTGGGTTTCTGAAGCTCCATATCCTTCGTCATGTCCTCCATCATTAGCCCCTTGTTCCCATCCTCCTTGACCACCAGACTGTACATTGTCTTGGCTGTATCTACCATCATCAGCTCCTCCATAGCCACCTTCTTGATTCCATCCTCCTCCTTGTTCCTCACCTCCTTGTTCCCAACCACCTCCTTGTTGAGCACCTCCTTGTTCCCAATCACCTCCTTGCTGGGCACCTCCTTGCTCCCATCCGCTGTTTTGCTGATCCCTTCCTTGCTCCCATCCTCCAGCACTTTCTTGCTGTCCTCTGCCATAGTTGGATTCCCAACCTTGATGGTCTCCACCCCCTCCTCCACCTCCGTATCCACCATCCCATCCTCCGCCTTGTCCGCCTCCACCAACATATGGAGTACCTTTATTGTTTCCTCCACCACCTCCTCCTTGGCTTTCGGGGTACCATCCTTCACCAGACTGTCCACCGTATGCTGGCTTCTTTATGTAAACTCTACGAAGAAAAAATTTCTTTTGAAACACATGTATATGAAAAATATGCAAATACATAATAAGACTGAATATTTATGTGTTAGATTAAAATTTTGTATTGCACACATTACTACAACCGATAAATATTACAAAAGCTTGCCTATTAGAAAATTTTATGCATAATAACATAGTTAGTAGAGAAATTTATATAATCATGGATACTGGTTATAAAATTTTACAAAGCAGATATTCTAGTGGCAACGATATTCCCCAAACTGTGATTTATTCAGAAAAGAACACAAAATACGTAGCAATAAAAACTGAATGTGGTAGCCATTATTACTGAGCACTGCTGTAAACGAGCTTTAGTTTATTTAATTATGATATAAGGTATTTTATTCCTTCTTTCTACATGCCTTCATGGTGTAGCGATAGCATATTGGTTCCAGTCCTATCGAGGACAGTGCTCATTTCTTCAGTTTCCTAAGATCGAAAAAAATCCTAATGGAAATCTACGATGGAAAACCACTGGTGGGCTATCTGCCAAAGGAAGGGATTCCTTCTTGGAGAACTTCATAAGGGCGACCGACTCCCCCTTAATGCATGGGAAAACCACGAAAATGCCCTTGCAGTCAGCCTGGAGTCAAACAACCATGTTCAGCGACTTTACCGGTAGGACACTTGTGGGCGTGCTGAAGAAGAGTTATATGCATCGATAGCAGAAACTGTAAATTTTCAGAATGAGACAGAGAGCATCTTTTAAATGCCAGCGAACGATCTCAGCCCCATCCATGATTTTATACAACCTCATAACAAAAAATAACAGAGTCTCAGTTGTACAGATTTGGAAATCTTCAGCGCGGGAAACGATGACTTGATTCTTTCCATAATATTGAAAGAAAAAGTTGTACATAATGAGAAGTAGCACGCAATGGTTTTCTATTCTGCATGTATGTCATTAAACCAATGCTTTTTTTCAATCAGAGTGTAAAAAATCCTTCTTTCTTATAAGGTACTGATCCATGACAGTGATAATTTAAAAGAAGAGCCGTATATTCAGGATTCTAAAGATACAAAGCTGTATGCAGCTAGATATAAAAGTAATTTAAAAAATAAAATTCTCCGTAATTTTATGCTTTTGCATGTTAAGCATATTATCATGCATTGTAAATTCACTAAAGACTAATTTTTTAACTTTTACTGATTTTTTTGGATGGCACGATATATATATATTTTCGAATTTAAAATTTTACAAAGAATTATGGCAAAATTTTAAAATATATTATAAATATTATTGAAAAATACTACTGCATGAAAACGGAAGCTTTGGATATCTAAATCTATATAACTAATTTAATATCGTAGTTAAAATTTATCATCTCAACTAGTGACTTAAGATCAGTAGAAGAAAGCTGCTTTTGATTAACTCATTTTTTTCGCAGAATTTCAGCATTTCATTATGTTAAAAAGTCCGTTTTTAGTGTTTCTAGAAACATCCATAATTGTTTTAATTCTTGAAAAATAAAATACTTATGAAAACATGTGATAATCCCAGCAAAATCAGATATCTGCTTCTCGGTAAAAAAACTCTAGTTTTAATGCACTTATTCTTCAGAACACTGTCATATTTGTTATCACAGTTTTATAATAAATCCCTTCCGTCCTCGTGGTGTTTCCTTACGTAAAATCCTAAAAGATTCCTAGACATAAAATCGTAGGCCCAAAATTTTCAGTATATACGGATTATGGATGAATGAATTTAATATATAGATAATCTTATAAACTGTATAATTTCATTCGTAAATTAATTATTTTTATTTTCTTAGTGAATGTAGACCAGACTTATTTGGTGGCGCACTACGAGTTACATATGCCATGAAGGATCGTTTCAAGACCCTCTGAGGCATCTATAGCTCCAGACCTTTAAACAGAAAAGATCTCTAGCGACGTTTTCGCATCGGAAATCCTAGATTACTGAGACACAGCAACATCATTACTTGCTCCTAAAATTAAAACGTAGAGAAATATTTTGAACGTACAGAGATACTTAAAACGTACAGAAACAGAACTTACTATGGAAGCTTATTAAGAACAAATAAGACAAGTCTTTAATACTTTCTATAAATGATTGCATGAGCATATTTATCATGCCAGAAGTGTTTTGCGTTGCATCGAGTTTTAATATTGCTTACAGGATTGGTGAAGAAAACAATGAAAAAAAAAAGGATTTCGTGTTCATTAGCAATTCATTGCTATCTGCAGTGAACGCGTAAATGCTGTAATTTGCTATCTGCGTAAATTGCTATCTGCAGTGAACTGTAAATGCTGCTCCGCCTACCAGCATCTTTGAATCGGATTTTTTTTATTTCGAATGGTTTCACTGGATTCATGTATTGTCATTTATACGCATATTCAGAAACATTTAATCATTTCTACATCCTTTGGGTACATATGGAAGAAAAGATAAAAGTAAAGCTTTCAGACTGGTTCGGATTTTGTAGATCTTAGACTTTTGATTTAAAATCTATCAAAGCAAATGTATTTGATATAGTCGATAATTCTATATCAAATAGATTTGCTTCTACTGCTTTAATTGATACTTGGCAATTAAATCATAAAGTTTCGATATGTGTAGATAGAGTAACAGTCTTCGCAGAAACTGAGCATTGTTTTCGGTTATTGTATGAATGGTGTATTGATATATACTTCATAATTATTCCTTAAGCCAAAGTAATCCGATCGAGAAGTATCTTTGTAACAGTAATCGCATTTCTCACAAAAATGGCATACGAGTAGCCAGTTCAGTCTCTAAACCTGAAGGATAACTTACTTCATACTAGATATCTCATTTTTTATATCACCGGTAAATTTGCAGGAATAAGAATTAATATATGAGCTTCATACCCTGTTGCTGACTAAATTTTATTAAAATCATCCATATATGTCTATTAAAAATGGAGGTACACATATTTTATTAAGAAAGTCAAGGGTGGTCCTCTTACTACTCCTTATAAACAGTGCCACCCTGATCGATATAGTGCTTAGCGTTACTAGCTGCCTAACAGTTGGCAAGATTCTGGATGTTTGAATGAATAGAATACTTGTGCGGCATGGGGTGACTTGAAGTACTGGCCAGCAGGATCCATCAGCCAGGTTATTACCGTCAAAACTGGGATAGAACTTCCCCCTTCTCGGGGATAAAATTTGTCGCCCACCGTGAAGCACCTTCGGTAAAATTCTCAATTATGAGAATGCAATAAATTGCAAGTGTCCGGCCAGTTGAAATAACAGCAGCAATATATTAGGAGTTCTCAAAATAGCTATCCCGTATTAAGTATTTTTCTTGTGATTTTAAGAATGAAAAACAAATAATAAGGCCAAACAATTGTGATTTTAGCATATTTCGTCGCGTCAATGAAAACTGTTACAACATTTGTTTTAATTTGACATATAAACATATGCTAATAGAGAAAACTCGAGTTTTTCATACAGGTTTCAGTATGCAAAAACTTCATATATGCGCATCTACTTGACATCAATCCAAACGAATCAAGCGCGGCGATTCGGCAATATGTATTTGAAAATGTGTTTTTTTCTTCTGTCCGTCAAAATCTAGCTTAAGTATTTTTACCGCCTCTAACCTGGTGATCTACCTACTTTATCCAAGCAACGGTGGATGCAAGGTGTATAGAGAAAATAAAGACGAAATTAATAATAAAAGAAACAAAAAACGAAAACAAAGAAAATGGATTCGGCGATAACCGCTAGGCATCTCTCGCCTATTCATGGTCATGGGCATGATGGCATACGGAAGTTCACTGTGGTTATCGACATACATATTACATTCTCTGGAGGAAGAAGGAAAGGTAGGTCACTCTCTGTTGTAGAATTAACGATGCTTTCGGCTTACGCCCGGATAGGTACTATTTCCTGCGGGTTTAGGGATTTTCTTAAACTGATTAGGGAATTCAGGGCCAAATCTCTAGCGTGGGAATATTTCAGAATTTTGAATGGTAAATAGATTGATTAGCCCTGATAACTGCGAAATACGCATGAGGTATTTAAAATCGACTTGCTAACTTAAACCCTAAAAACAAATGTTCTCATTATAACACGAACATTGCCCTGGAATCAGATTTGCAACATACAGCCACGTGCACATTACTGAAATTCCACTGAAACCACTCCAATATTTACGTAGATTAAGGGTAAATAGTTCAACAGTTCTAAGGCTTATTTTTAATTAACACGTTGATTCTTATATAAAATATATCCTGGAATTCTGTTGTTTCTTCTCTAGAAAACGTAAATGAAGTCAGTTTAAAATCTGAAGAGAAAGAGAGCTCAGGAAAACCAACACCAGTACTTTGCAATCCCATTTTCTTTCTGTTGGTGGGTAAATTCCTTACTTAGAAAGCTGCTTATAAAGACATGTTAGCTCAGGATCTAAAACTTCAAGCTTAATATTTGTTTTGACTTATAAATACTACGTCTCGCCAGTACCCGAATGTTTAAGACGGCTGACTACGTGAATACAAACTAATTTCCTTCAGAAAGCCCTCCACGAAAGAATTCTTTCCCTTAGAAAGAACAGCCTTCTTTTTCGTAACCTTATTTAAATAACCATTTGAAAATATCGCGTTACTACTGTATTAGAAGGCCGCATGTACTGGATGTTTAGCTTGTTATTAACTTTATTTGTAAATTTCAAGCTGAAATAATAATAAATTGTTTAGCTGATTTTATGCTTCTTCATTATCATTTATGTTGTAGAGACATTAGGTTATTTCAGAAGCAGGAAACATGAAAAATGAGTAACGCCTTCGCCGGGACTCGAACCACGGGCCTCTCGAATACGTGCCGAGCGTGCTGACAACTACATTGCGAAGGCATGCTAAGAGGGCGGGACAAATACTTTATAATGTTTTATTACTTTTGATTTTACTATTATTTAATACCTTATAATGTTTTATTACTTTTGATTTTACTATTTTACTATTATTTAATACCTTATAATGATTT